CTATCTATCTATCTATCTATCTATCTATCTATCTATCTATCTATCTATCTATCTATCTATCTATCTATCTATCTATCTATCTATCTATCTATCTATCTATCTATCTATCTATCTGTCTGTCTATCTACGAGTCGTTTTCTTCTTGGATTTTGGTGATTTCTCTACTTTAGAAATTTTATTTTCGAACATTAATATGTATTGATATTTGTATATTTATTCATTTGTTGTTTTTTTCCCAGCTTTTTTTTCATACTTGTTGGTGAGTCTATTGATCATAGGATTGGACATTGTTTTGCATTGCTTACAGTCGACTGTAAACACCCAATATCTTTCAACTGTTTATTAAAGAAGTCTGTCCCTTGGCTTAATGCTTCAATTTGACCAGTAAGTGTTCCAATTTCTACTAGCAGAAGTCGGCGTCCATTTTCAGAAATATTTAGTTGGAAACGAGTAACTTTCATTGACAGTTTCAGTATCTTCTTGTCGAATTCGTCCATTAACTTCTTTGACTTCAAAACCAGTTTTATGCGTGAGGTTTTACGCTTATTGTAATCATCCCAACTATAGGCAGGGATGTTTGTTCTATCTTTGAGTTCGGTTGCAAGGTTAATGATTTCTTCGCTACTTTCTTTACATTTATTCTGATACTCTTCATCAGTTGAATTATACATCAGAACAACCCTGTTGCCGCATTCATTCAGTAGATCTTTCAAAGTTCCCACTTGACTAGCGCACCACGATGAGAAGTGAATATGTTCTGTTTTATCAAAATTGTCTCCGTGAGTGAATGCAATGATACCATGTTTTGAAATGAAATCCTCACCCAGTATCTCTTTGTAAATTTTAATTGTTCTTTTGTCCTCTTCTGTAAACCTAGGGTCGACATAACTGAAAACTAGAACAAATGCGTGCACCCCACTATCGTGGAATATTCTAAATATATCGTCCACAATCTGACAAGTTCTTTGTTCGCATGTAATATTTTCATTTCCACGTTGCGTTTCAAATGCGCCAGGAGTGTCACAGATGTGTAATATTTGTCCTCTAATTTCTTTCTCTAGCCCTTCGCTCACTACCATCGAACATGAAGTCGTGTGACTTGCAGCTTTAAATTCTCTGTTTTGAAGTATTGTGTTGGCTGTGGAGCTTTTCCCCATTCCAGTCTTCCCCAGAAGAACCAGAACGAGAGGACTTGCCGCCATCGTACTCTGAGGAAGTATATATCAATAGAATTCTTTTAAATAACACATTTACTGTAAAATTTGGGGCTGTAAAACATTTTTAAAAAACTTAATTGCGTTTCTCAAATACTTACAATTTTAACTACACAATTTTAACTACACATTTTTTATTTAAAAAAAGTATTAGCATTTTCGATTAGCTGACATATAACAAATATTCAATATGTGAAAGCATTAGGATGACAGTTATTATAACTAGTAAATTTTAAATCTTAGCCCAATTAGGTTGGCTTGGAAAATCATTCATTTCGTAAGTATTGTAATAACAACGTGGCAATGAAATTATAAGACTTCGAATCCAGTCGACAGCAAGGGCAATAACCATAAGTGAAAGTAAACAAACGTTTCCACTTCGAATATCTGGATTATGTTTTTAATGATACAATTGTTAAATAGATATTTACAAATCTTTAAAATAATTGTAATAATAATTTTAATTGCCCTTCCCTATTTCAAACTGAAATATCAATGAACTCCAGGTCAGCATGCCATTTGGTTGATACCAAATAGGCCGACCTTTCATGATCATGTACTTTCGTTTTGATGACACACTTCGTACCTGTCAGAACAGACAGTATCATTCCCAGTATTCGATTAGGATTATCAAAACAGTCAATTGTTTTAAGATTTAAGGCTTGATGAGTTTATTTGCTTGTTTGTGTGTTTGTTTTTTATATCTCTGATTACTTCCCATACTATGATTTTTTATAACGGTTACGGAACCTAATTTTCCACCGAAATCTGTTACAAGCTGATAAGCTTTGAAAATAACGTTTTGTGCTTGATTCCGTGCGTGCAGCAGCTGTGGTGATCTCAGGGATGTTTTCCCGAGGAGAATAATCGGGAATTTACGAAGATTATTTTAAGATGGGTGACGTGTCAGGCACATTGCCATCAGTTCCCTCATTCAATGCTCTATTGAATTCTTTATTTTCATTCATCTTACTGTCTTAGATCAAATTAGTGTTGACATTTTTATAGAGCTCATTTACCTTTTAAGCTAATCTATGATTATAAAATTAGACAAATCTATGTCTGTCAGTACAAGTATGAGAATAATCATAACGATTAATAAGGTTTTTTTTTTATATATGGCAACGTATATTTTGATACAATAATAAAACATTAGAAATATATTGAACTTTTGCGTGTCTGTTTATTTGGCTCAGAACTAAGGTTCATTCATCAAAGACCAAATTGCTCATAAGATCTTGCAATGTGACGTGGCTTTGAACACGACCTCCTCATAATTCCTAATTTCTTTCAACTGTTTTTTCAAAAAAGTCTGTTCCTTGACTGAACTCTTCGATTCTACCGGTGAGTCTTCCAATCTTTACCAACAGTAGTTGGCGGCCTTGCTCAGTAACTTTTGTTTAAAAATATTTACTTCAGTTGCTGGCTCAGAACTAAGGTAGTGCTTTATCTGGCTCAGAACTAAGGTAGTGCTTTATCTGGCTCAGAACTAAGGTAGTGCTTTATCTGGCTCACAACTATGGTAGTGCTTTATCTGGCTCAGAACTAAGGTAGTGCTTTATCTGGCTCACAACTAAGGTAGTGCTTTATCTGGCTCACATTAAGGTAGTGCTTTATCTGGCTCACAACTAAGGTAGTGCTTTAAATGGCTCACAACTATGGTAGTGCTTTATCTGGCTCAGAACTAAGGTAGTGCTTTAGGTGGCTCAGAACTAAGGTAGTGCTTTATCTGGCTCAGAACTAAGGTAGTGCTTTATCTGGCTCAGAACTAAGGTAGTGCTTTATCTGGCTTCGAACAGTTACCAGAATGACGTGTTGTTTCTAAAATGACATTGTGTCCTTGTCGATCAATATGTACACAATTGTAACATTTTAATTTTAACTCTAAGGCAATGTTCAGAAATTTTAAAAAAGTTAATTTACCTGTTTAGTTGCTCCGTGCAAAGATGACATCTTTATGAAAGTCAGATATCGTTAGCAGCAATGTAAACTAAGTCTACCTGACAATATAGTGGCGGCAAGAGTGATTAAAACCCAGACTGCCCACTGCACATATTTAGGTTTTAAGTCTCTTTTCCTGGGAAATGTGCAAATGCTCTGTAAACGGGTCTTTCCGTTTTTTTCCATTCTTCATTGGTTTGTGGCAGGTGTTCAAAAATTCATGATCATTTGACTTGTCATAAAATGAGTGGGTCTAGTGATGTAAGAAGGGGAGGAGCGAAAGGGTGATCCAACCCTCTTGGTACTTTTTTATGCAGTCCATCAATTGTTATCTTTTTTCTCTAAGTATGGTAGGGCGACATTTTAGGCCAATTGTAACATAAAGACAGTGATTAAAGGACGCAAGGCGCAATTTTATTTGACCATCAACTACTACACATTTATGAGATACTGGAATTCTGATAAAATTGGCTCAGTTCTATACAGTGCATTGGGTATAATTTTTCTGACCCAGTTATAGAGAAATATTGGGATGAAAAAAGGGAGCGAACTGGAAAAAAAAGCTGTCATCTAGGGCAGCGTTCCCCAAACGGTGGTCCGTCGACCGGCACCGGTCCGCAAGCCTTACGTTACCGGTCCATAGAACATGAATTTTGATGTTTAAATAGAAAGAAAATGTAATGAATAAATCTGGCACCGGTCCCTGGTGCAGTTTCAAAACTTGTCCACCGGTCCATGAAACTTAACTGTTTGGGAAACGCTGATCTAGGACAACTCTTGAGGCGCTATTGGTGCCAAGCTTTATCATCCACATATGATGTTCCCGTGGGTTATCCTGATGCGTGGAGAGAGATGATTGGCTGTAAAAGGCATCTGTTCATCGTCATAAATGAAAATTTACAGGTCTTGTAATTTCGTCAAGTGACGTGTGCACCATTTCACATGAAGTGTGCGCCATCGTCACTTGAAAAGTGCACCATCTTCACGTGCTATCATGGTGGGTCTCCCAGCTACGCTCCTGGATAAAATTCAAAGAGCACAGAATAATGCGGCTCACATTGTTCTTCGCAAACTCAAATTCGACCATGCTTAAACACTTCTGAGGGAGCTGCACTGGCTGCCGGTCCGCGCTCTCATAGAGTACAAAATTGCAACTTTGTGCTACTGCTGCTTACATGACCTGGCGCCATCTTATCTCAAAGCACTCATGACGCCTTATGTACCCACTAGAGAGCTCCACTCATCCCATAGTGGCAAAATATCGATACCGTGTGTTCGCCTTGAGACTTACGGAAAGCGCACTTTTGCATTTGACGGCCCAACAATTTGGAAATCCTTTCAAGTCGCTCTCAGAAACAGCCAGACACTGGAGTCCTTTAAAACTGATTTAAAAACACATCTATTTTGCAAACACCTTCTGGGGTGTTGCTATCTACCATCTTTTTCAGTTAATGTATATTGGCCTGTGTTGCTTATGGTTGAAACGGGATGAAAGACTTTGACTTGGTATGCTCGTATTGTCACGTGAGAAGAATGATTTGTTTAAAAAGAGATCACGTGATAGAGAACAAGAGAGTGTGTGTAGGTACGAGCAAGGAAAGATGGCTGGAGTGTATTTTTATTGATATGTTTCTTATGTAAAAAGTGTACATATGTTCAGCTGCTGCATTAAAATTAGTTGTGTTTACCAAGGACTTCCATCTTATAAATGTGAGGAAGAGATAGTTGTAAATTAACGCCTGCAAGTGAGAGCTCGGACGTAACGTACATGTTACATTTTGGTGTCAGAAGTCAAGAGGTCAAGAAGTCAAGATGGCGGTATAGTCGGTAACACAATGACATGGTGAGTGCAGCTGAATTTTGAAAACAAAGTACCTACTAAAAGAAGATTTGCTCTACGGCAAAAATTGAAAGTTCAAGTATCTGTAGTTGGTTTATCTACAGTCGCTATTGAATAGTGTGAACACGTACATTATTCTGAAGAAAAGGATAATTCAATTATCAAGTCTTTCCTACTTTTGAGACACGGGACAGCATCGTGCTCAAATTTTGTGGCAAGTGAAATTAAAAGGAACGAGTTCATTATATGAAGAAACTTGTGAATATTAAAAGTCGCATGCAGCAGTGCATAAACTGATGAAGTTTATGATATATTAGAGGTCTAGAGTTAGACATTTATTAATCAACGATCGTGTCGAGAGTCCAGTTCAAGGACTGACCTACATAAGCAGAGAGCGTCGTGTAAACCTACGTCACACAGCAACACTGTCAGCTTTGTCATTACAACGCTACACAGCACGGTGTAGGCTGTAAACAAGCACACTACGTAGTGCATGAATCTGGGTCACGCAGTTACAACAGAGAGTTACCAGTACCAACTACACATTTGAAGTAAACAGTAAACACGACACAATTGGATATTTATAGAGGCTATGGACCATGGAATATGTACTGTCACTATGGCATGGACAATCATTTAAATCAGTGAATAATAATTAACGTATCAATAAATTGTTTGTGACAATTAACAATTAATATTAGTGAATTACAAACAGAACAGAAGAACTTCATTTGGATATATTCATTTCATTGTATGAGAACTGTGAGACAATTCGGATCAATGGACTAAACTAGAGTGTCTAAAACTATTTCAATAATCAGAAAACTTCACTTAGCGGATTATCTGACTCAAAATTTCGAACCATCGGATGTATTTTGTCAACCTGAGGGAGCGTATATGCTTAGTATAATTAAGATCCCGTGTGTGGATGCTTTGTTGCCTCATTTTGTCAAAATTTAATTTAATGGATTCACTTAAATGTATCACTTAAATGTACCACTCAATATTAATCAACAATTTTTTTTAACATATATATTTTTTGAATGTAGAATTTAGAATTTTTATACTTTGCATAATTCATGAATTAATTAATTGACATAATATATGCATTTTATATGATTTTGTATTACATAGAGTGTATTGATACATTGCACTTACATTGATCACTAAGTTGTTAACTCACATAACGCAAATAAACAATGGATTTATATAAAGAATTCACTGCCATAGCAGAAAAAATAGGATTAACTGGGAAAGAAATGAGAGCTTTCATTGAAGAGAAAGTAAAAGAAGCTGAAGAAAAAGAGAAGCAAACGCAAAAAGAAGCTAAAGAAGAAGAGAAGCAAAAGCTAAAAGAAGCTGAAGAAAAAGAGAAGCAAAAGCAAAAAGAAGCTAAAGAAGAAGAGAAACAAAAGCTAATAATTGAAAGAGAAGAAAGAGTTGCAAGAAGGGAACTTGAACAACTTAAAAATGACAATTTAAAACTACAAATTGAGTTGCAGAGCAAAAGTTTCAATCCTGGTAATGACTCAAATGAAAAGTCAACACCAAGGGATACAATCAAAGTAAGAAAATATGATGCCAAAAAATAAAAAATGGATGTCTATCTAGACTACTTTGAATCCATAATGGCTATAAAAGGTTATGATGATAAAGATTGGTCAACACAATTAATGACTCAACTAACAGGAGATGCTTTTGAAGCTTACAACAGTATAGCTAAAGAAGACAAAATCATATATCAAAATGTCAAAAAAGCACTTCTATGTCATTTCGGGAAGTCAGAAAATGATTATAGAAAAGAATTCCATGAAATAAGAATCAAGAAGGATAAAGATCCACAGATCATAGTACACGAAGCTCAAGTTAAATTGACAAAATGGCTAGAACTTACAGCAATTGATACAAGCAATCCAAAGGCCATACTAGACATGGTGTTAATTGACAAATTCCTGGAGGATGCAACACCAACTCTTTTCACATACTTAACTGATAAGAAGATTCGTACTCAAGCAGCATTAACAAATGCATTACGAACATTCAAAGACTCTCATCCAGATGTAGAAATGGATAGAAGACAAGACATCTTTGCTGCAATGCAAAATAAAAGACCAGAAAAAAGACAAGGAATGAGAAACCAGAGTCTTCCAAACTCAGGCAATAGAAATACTATTTGCTGGTACTGTAACAAGCCAGGACACATGGCGAAACACTGTTACCACAATAAAAGAGAACCAAACAGAGTATCACCTAATGCAAGCCCTATAAGTAGGAAAACAGAAGAAAGATCAAGACAAGGTCATTTTGAAAACAAAGGTAGACAATCATGGAGAGGCAGATACAACCATAACTCCAGATTCAGAGATTATGATCAGTCATGGAGGAGGAATGACTACCAAGATTTGAAGGATACAGAAAGAACGAAACAAGAAGCAACAAGATTAAGTGATACTGTGGCCACAATGGATAGTCATGGGAAACTTAAATTTTACCCAGTATATATCAATAATAGGAAATGCATGTGTCTACGAGATTCTGGATGCACAACAATTGTTGTACACAGCAGAATGGTACAAGAAAATGAATATGATGGTCAACAAGACACATTATTAATGGCTGATGGCACAAAGAGAGATTGTAAAACTGCTACTCTTAACATCAACTCACCCTGGTTTCAAGGTGAAGTTCGTGCCAGAGTTTTAAAAGATGCCATTTGTGATCTCATAATTGGAAACATTGAAGGTGTTGTTGACAATTCAGATGAAATGTTCAAAGCATGGTGTGACAACAATCAACTGTGTGCTAGTGTACAAACCAGAGCCTCCATGAAAAGAAAAGAAAAATTAGATATTGAAGTTGAATACAACATTCCCATGGGAAGCCAACTTATATCAAAACAAGATTTCAAGAAACTTCAAGAAGAAGACAAAGCAATAAATGAAATAAAAATGAAACTCAGCAAAGACAATGAAACAGGCCACAATAAACAGTATAAACTAGATAAGGGCATATTGATAAACATTGCACAAGCAGGAAAATATAAAAGAATAGTTATGCCTGAGAAATTACAGGAATCTATTATAAAAATGACACATGATAGTCCTTTAGGTGGGCATATGGGCGCCAAGAAAACAATTGCTACAATAGCAGAAAACTTTTATTGGCCTAAAATGAGTAAACAGATAAAAGAATACATTAAGAAGTGTACAGTGTGTTTAAGACACAATCCCA